ATCCACCCTAGTTGTTGAGGAGGAAAGAGACAGTGATGACTAAAGAGAAGAAGAAAATAGGAGAGAAAAAATTCAAGGCGAGAGAAGGGTAAGGGTAGTTAGGGAGGAAACTCTTTTTTTTTTTTTTAGTGCAAATAATTAATCTATTTAATACTACTTTTATAAGATATAATCAATTAAAAAGCATTGTCTCTAATGTAATTTCTAGTTGAGGTTTCTATTATTATTATTATTTGAAGTTCAATTTCCATGCTCATCAATCTTAAGTATACTTTATAATATATTTATTAAAAAATTATATTTTTTAATTTAAAATTAATTAAAAATAAAAATAATTTTAAAAAATAATTATGCATATAACATACAAAAATTAATAAAATTGACTACACTTCTATTATTTTAACAACTAAACAAGCTGAATGTCGATGTGTACAATTAATTAAACCAAGGGGTGATGAAATCATTTTCCGCCGAAATTACTTGAAGGATATTTATTGGCTCAATTCATCTTCATACATCTTGGTACGTCTTGATCTGCTTCCGTGGACGAACTTGCATTTAACAAATACTAGTAAAAAATGTAATTAATAAAGCTAATAAAAAAAAGGGAAAAAATTAAGAAAAACAAATTAAGCAGAAATGTTTTTCATGTTGAGGAATTTTGATCAGAACTAGGAGCTGTCCCATACACCTTAACAGCAAATAAGAGTTTTTCCCTCTGATATGGTCCGTCTTCATGATCAACAATCTGACTATCCCAATTCAGTCCATCAGTTATCTTTTTGATCTTCACCAACGTATCCACATCGTCTCGGAATATCACACCGCCTTCAGGTCTCAATATTCTGTCCATCTCCAGCAAAATATCTTCCATTTCGCACCTGCAACAAAATTATACAAACACCATTCAACATGAGTTACGTACCCTAATGAAATACGTAGAAAAATAACATAAATTGCGCACTGGAATGATTCCAAAATCACTACATACTTGTTGTCATAGAAACTAAAAACCGAATCAGCATGAATGAAGTCGTAAGTTCTTGGATAAGTAGACATTGCTTCACACCTGCAAAATAAAA